CGCTTTCGAGCATTGCATAAAATCAGGCGCTGGCTCTTGGTGGGCTCGAACTGGATCCGCCATTGCTGGCTGGCCCCATGCGGCAAGATTGCTGAGGGTTGTCTGTAAGAATGCTGCCTTCTCCTGGAGGTTGTCGTTTGGTCTGATCAGACTGTACACGGTAGTGTCATCGGCGAAAGAGCTGAGCTTTACTCCATGCGAGAGGCATTGGTCGATATCGGCAGCAAACAATATGAAGAGTGTGGGGCCCAGGACGCTGCCTTGGGGCACTCCGGCAGTGATGGGGTACTTTTTGGAAGCGTGGCCCCCAGTTACCACCTTTAGGCAGCGGTTACTCAGGTAGTCGCGTAGCCAAGAGAGAAGAGGTCCGCCGATGCCTACTCGCTCTGCTTTGTTGAGGAGGCCGATGTGAGAGACGCGGTCAAACGAACCGGCAATATCAATTGCTACTACTGGGACACCCCCCCCCCCCTCCCTCAGCTACAACCTGAACCCATTCGCTCTGGAGTGCTGTGAGTCGGTCAGCTGTGCCACGGCCACGTCTAAAACCAAACTGGCTGTCAGGCAGCAGGTCTTCGCGCTCCAGGAAATTGGTGACTTGTTGGTTTATAATACACTCCATAACCTTGGATAAAATGGAGAGCAAGGACACAGGCCGGTAGTTGGATGGCCTGGATCGAGGTGGCTTCTTGCATCTAGCTGTTTCTGGCTAGTACCAGTTCTATCGCACTTATTAATCATCCTTATTGGCGTCACGCCATCGTGGAATAAAAGAATATAAAATTAAAATAAAATACCGTGACAACGTGAGCGAGCTTCCATTGGGACGGTACAACACCGGCACGAAAGCTAACACGGAACAGTTTCGTGATGGGAGCAGCAAGTCCCTTAGAGCACTCTTTCAATAGCCAAGATGGAATGCTGTCAGATCCTGATGCCTTGGATGGGACTAGCCTTGCAAGATGCCGCCGGACTGAAGCTTCTCGGAAATGAACGTGCTCTAATGGCTCGTGGGTCGGGGTGGTCACCGCAGGAAGGTCATTGATAGTCAGTTCTCGGTCACCCAAGCTGCATTTCGAGGAGAAATGCTTTGCCAGGCACTCAGCCTTCTCTGCTGAGGTGTGGAACTCCTTGCCATGGCTATCGACTGGCAAAGGAACATCAGCGGAGTTGCGTGTAGCGCCAGTGGCTTTCTTCATGTTTGTCCACCTCTGTTTATTTGTATTTGTATTTTATTATATTTAAGGATTTCCCAAAGGCTTTGGGCCTGTCGAGGGGATCTCCTGCAAGAAGAATGAAATGGCTACTTTATGTAGAGGGAGCAGTTAATCGAGGATAGGCTAAGGAAATAGATATCACTAAGTGACTGGCAGCTGAGTGTGTGGCGCAGTCGATTGACGCTAGACATATGGGCGCTCTGCTGTGTGTGAACAGCTCGGTTGACAGAAGCAATGAAGGAGGTCTTGAGGTCATCCCGGTGCGGGTTCTGCCTCCACTTCTTCCACTGCTTCTCCTTTGCCTCTTCAGCAATGGTGCACTCTGGAGTCCACCAGTGAGGGTCAGAGGAACGAGTGGTGAATACTTTGGTGGGGATGTACTGGTCCATGCCTTGCAGGATGGCCGAGGATAATCGCTCGCAATACAGAGTGGGATCGTCTGACATTATCGACTGCCAGCCGTGACCGCGGTAAAATGCCCTGAGTCTGTTCCAGTCAGCACTATCGTATTTCCACACCTTGCGGGAGGTTGTTGGATCGCGGCGGGCGGAAACTGCTTGGAAGTTGCATATCAAAACGGAATGGTCGGACCTGCCGAGGGGGGCAAGCACGTTGGTTGATGCTGGGGTAGTGAAGTCGGAAAGAACTAAGTCTAACGTATTTTCACCGCGTGTTGGATGGTGTAGATGCTGATCAAGGTGGTGGGTTGCACACAACACTTCCAAAGCTTCCCCAGCCACAGTTTCCTTACAACACTCAACAGCCCAATGCTCGTGCCAAACCGTCCAGGCTGCTAGAAATGGCTCCTCTAGCCCCCACCTCCGCTGTGAGGGCCTCGACTTCCTTTTAATTCTTTATTGTTGTTGTTGTTGCTGCTGCTGCTGTCGTTGTTGTTGTTGCTGTTTCTGTTGGTCATTTTGTGACAGCTTGTACAATTCCCTTGTCCAGGTAGTAAAGCCGTCTCTCTCCTCTTTCTCTCTCTCTCTCTCTCTCTCTCTCTCTCTCTCTCTCTCTCTCTCTCTCTCTCTCTCTCTCTCTCTCTCTCTCTCTCTCTCTCTCTCTCTCTCTCTCTCTCTCTCTCTCTCTCTCTCTCTCTCTCTCTCTCTCTCTCTCTATTGTTGTTGCTGTTGTTGTTGCTGCTGTGTTGTTGGCGTTGCTGTTGTTGTTGGTCTGTTGTTGTTGTCGCTGTCGTCGTTGTTGTCGCTGTTGTTGTTGCCGTTGCTGTTGTTGTTGGTCATTTTGTGAGAGCTTGGACAATTCACTTGTCCAGGCCATAAAGCAGTCTCTCTCTCTATCTCTCCTCATTCTCTCTCTATTTCTTTCTCTCTCCATCTATCTATCTCTCCTCTCTCATCATGCATGCTTCACACTCTCATGGAATTTTCTCTTATAAGATTGCATGCTTCACACTCTCATGTAATATTTCTTTCCTTTCTTCGTCTTTTTGTGAGAGCTTGGACAATCCACTTGTCCAGGCAAGAAGGCAGCAATGCCTGTTCATTCTGGCGAAGTAAAATAAAATATACCAACCAACTAACCAACTTCCCAGCCATTCTTCATACACCCCTGTTCGCGGTGGCGATACCGTGAAAGCTTCTTCTCCCTGGACTGGAGGATGCGGTCTTCGCTACACACCGTGAGTTCCAGCCAAAGCACTCTTCTCAATTTCTTCGAGAAGAGAACTATGTCTGGACGACACGTGGTAGGTGCAATAAAGTGTGGGAATACTAGCCTCTCGTCCAGATCTGAAAGAAGCTGCCAATCATGTATGTGATCCCGACAAAAAACCATCGCTCAGACCTTTCCGCTGAGGTAACTCGCCGCGGAGGATGTTTTGACTCGGTTTACAGAAGGTAATTTATGTACCGTTAGTGGGAGTTTGCTCGGTATTTGACGAGTTTTGCTTTGCTGATACTACAATCATGTACTTCTGTCCTGAATTTACTGATTTGTTTGAGGACGTTGTAATGGCGCCACGTGTACCTTCCTTGATGGAGTGAGGAATGGCAGGTGGTGAGAATGTGCCTCAGTGTTGATGTCCGCTCTACTCAGAGTAGACTAGAGAGAGGAAAAAAAGAAAGAAGAAGAAAAAAGAAAAAGAAAAACCATTATAAAAAAAGAGAAGAAAACACATGAGAACGAGTTATGCAGCAACTAACAAGATGACTAATACTAGTAAGGCCACCCAGAATTAATTCGTTGTTTCGGGTCACTTCACTCATCCGTACCAGGGTCGGTCGGTCGGGTTTATTTTTTATTTTATTTTATTTTTTATTTTGGTTACTGCGTGTGCATACATGATTATGCATATCCAATGGCTTTTGTCCATCAAGCCAGTCGATCAAATCTGACTGCACATTGTTGTAGACGATCCAGCACGCGCAGTCATTGTCCCATTACTACTGGCATTAGATCCAGGTCCCCTCCAGGACCAGATCTTTGCCTCACTGGCAAACGAGGCTGACGAGAGCAGAGCGGATGCGGCCGGCAGCGGAGCTGAAGCTGTTTCAGGACCGATTGCGGATCGGAGATAAGACAACCTCGTCACCAAGCGCTGCATCCTGTCATTTGGCTGCTTCTGAGCATGAGGTCGATGTCTAGACTGCTAGTATTATAGGATCGCGTGTGTGTAGTCGACACTAGTCGTACATTTGCATGCACAATATATAAAAAAAAACATTTGACTCCTTTCTGTATACAATAAATGAGGAGGCCGAGGGTTTATGACCAATAAAAACTATTATAAAAACCGAGGTCCCCCGAGGTTTTTATAATAATTATGTATCTAATATTGACTGAGTACGAGGTCAATAATTATAGGAAATAAAAGCCGAGTAAAAGACCGAGGCGAAGCCGAGGTCTTTTACGAGGTTTTTATTTCCTATACTGGATGCATGACCAAGTACGAAGTCAATATTAGATTTATCACGACAAACAGTCCGTATTTCAAATTCCAAAACGATAACCTCGTGAATCCCGGTTTTATGATTGCACAACCGTTGCACCACCATGGTACCACCTACTCATGCAGTGACAATGCTGCACTAGGCACCGGTCCGTTCAACTGCGCGACCCCTAAGCAGTCAAATATAAGCAGTCAATATAGCCCTAACTGCCCTAAGGAGTGAAATATGCAGGAATATTTGACTGCTTAGGTATGGCAAAAATCTATGTGAGTCAATACTAAGGGAGTGATAATAGTTTTTATTGCATTGGTCATAAAGTTGATAAACCCTCGGCCTCCTCATTTATTGTATTTAGAATCAACCAGTAAAAACTCCTACTCAATCTCCAACAACAAAATAACTAGCGGACAACTGTTATTTGTGTTGCTATGACAACTCGTGTGCTGGACGAGTACTATTTGTTGTCATTGGTTCAATTTCTTTTACTCTTCATAGGCTATCACTCAGATCATTTTCCTTATTCGGTCTATTTATAACCAGTATCTATAATGAGAGTGTGGTCTGTCTCCATGGTTACCGGTGTTCATTTCATAACTATAGCCAATATGTGGAAGGCTTGCATATTCCAACAGCAGCCAAGGGAGCTAGCTCTCTTGGTTATGCGGACTGGGTCCGATCCTAAAAAGCTGTTTTTATGAACTGTTTTTATGAACTGTTTTTATGAACTGTTTTTATGAACTGTTTTTATTGAATGGGATACGATTATGTTGAATAAACGAGGTTTGTGTCAATGGGAGATTGACTTGGAGTTTTTACGAGTTGATTCTAAACAATTATATATTTAATGAATGAAAAATTTCAAAAATAATAGGTTTTGAAATACTTCAGAAGCACAATCATGATAACAGTCTCAATCATTATCGTGATCTGAGACTGTGGTGTACTGAACGTGATAGGGTCTTATGATTTAGGGTCTGTGACTAAAGTCTTGTATCAGTTCTTCTAGAAATCCGAAAACTTGTACCGGTACATCTGCTTGTTCTCTACTAGCGAGCAACTCAAACATACCGTAACCGCCGCGCCATTCAAGTCCCAGGGAGCCAGCTGCACGGTGCTCCCGGTGAATTTCCACAGCGGTCTTTAGGGTCTGTGACTAAAGTCTTGTATCAGTTCTTCTAGAAATCCGAAAACTTGTACCGGTACATCTGCTTGTTCTCTACTAGCGAGCAACTCAAACATACCGTAACCGCCGCGCCATTCAAGTCCCAGGGAGCCAGCTGCACGGTGCTCCCGGTGAATTTCCACAGCGGTAGCAATGGCTGTGGTGATAGATATCGGGACAGACTATTGCAAGTGTGGACTGGCCGGTGATGACGCGCCCAGGACTGTGGTGCCAACGATTCTCCTGACTGATACTTATGTGGGCGAGACACCACCACACATGACTAGAAGCTTACTGTCTACGTCTCCGAAAAGACCTGTAGAACACGGTTATGTGACGGACTGGGATGGAATGGAAAAGGTTCGTACTGTAATGTTATACAGGGTTCTAGGTGGGGGCAGGCAGGGATACAAACGGTTCACCCATTTTTCCATGTTCCACTATTGCCTTGTCGCACAAAATGCAACTTACGGCCGTAGAGCACCCGGAACGATCCATTTGTGGCCACATCTTAATTCTGTGAACTGAAAAATACAATTGAAAGATGAGTAGGGCAGTGCGTCATCAGAGCAGAGGGTGCGCCAACAGTGTGTGTGTGTGTGGGGGGGGGGGGGGGGGGGGGGCGCGCGCGCGCGCGCGCGACGCTACGTGCCTCTCCCTACCCAACACCTCTTTGGCTAGAACCCTGTTATACAGAGTCTGTGCGCATACAGTAAGATCGGGCGCCGAAGAACACCTCGCCGAAGAACACCCAGGCTGGAAAACCGGCAAAATTTAAGAACAGTCCAGGCTAGAATTATCAGATTTAAGAACACTAGATCTAGATTGTACGTAGATCTACAGGCACTACGAAGAGAGAGTGAGACAAGTGGAGCATGCCACTTTTGTTCCGGCTGTGATGTCTGCGAGTGGAGGCATGGGCAAGGCAGCAACGGCCCTCTACAAACGAGTGGCCTCTCTGTTGGCGGCGAAAAGAGGGGAGCAGTATTCTCATGTGATGGCTTTCGTCAGGTGCAGGATCGCTTTTTCCCTCTTGCGGTCCTGCATCATGTGCCTCCGTGGGTGCAGAAGGCTCTCTAGCCAGCCTGCCTTGGCTGTGGGTGATACCTCTGCTGCACTGGCAGTGGTGGAGGCCCGGGTACCGGCTTAGCGTGCACGAGCGGTAACAGTGACTGGAATATTGACTTGAAGTTGAACTTGCTGCTGTTTACCTAAGTAGGTATACATTATTATGCTGTTTTTTTTGCGTGTTTTTTCGTTTTTTTCTTTTCTTTCTAGAACTTTGAGTTGAAGTTTTTGGAACACTTGGGAAAAAATATTCATTGTGTTTATTTTGCCCGTAAAAGAGGCTGTTGACGTAGATCTACATTGTACATGTATGGGAGGTGAGTACATGTCATGTACACTTGCAAACAGTAACTGCTACATGTACAGTCATTCCCATTTACGACACCCACTAGTTTAGAAGTACTACATTGCACTACATGTACATGTACATGACACACGTCATGACGTCACTCGACTCGCCGCGCGCGCGTGTGAATATTCAATAAGCACGGTCTGGCTAGAATCAAAATTTTTTAAAGAACTTTCCTAGGCTGCGCTCGAGCCCCTGCGTTCTTCGGCGCCCGATCTTACTGTACTACAAGAAATAGGCTACATGTGTTTACACGGCCGCGTCATTGGCTGTCGCCGAGCATGCTCCGCCAGCCGCATGCCGGCGGGTTAGTAAAAAGTGAAGAACGATTCGCATAGCACGCAGCAAGTGCACGTACCCTGTCGCAACAAACAAACAAATTTGAACATCTTTCTGGTCCTTGTCCGCCGTCATGATTATCACCAGTAAGTTATGTAACATGAAAAAAAACAGTACTTCGAAATACAAACAATAAAATGTTTAAAAAATGTGAAGGACGCTTCATGCAGCTTCATTGCACTTGAATAGTTTGCAGGCAACCTGCCTACACTCAAGAGAGCACTGCATTTCACACAAATCCATTAGAAGTATCGTTTCAACGTTTCGGTCTTCATGACCATCATCCTGATGACGATACTTCTACTTGTAATGGATTTGTGTGAAATGCAGTGCTCTCTGCCTGAAAACTATTCAAGTAAACTGTTAAACATGAAAAAATGTGAGCACAAGTTTTGCGACCGAGTCCACAAACTAAAACTAGATGTTGCCGAACAGTCAGACTTGCATGATTTACCACAGAACTGACAAGGAGTACCCGCCGCTGGGCATTGTGCCCACATTTTTCCATGTTACAATTCTTTCCTTTGGCTCCGCACCATCTGGGTAAGTTACATGTATGTGTTTTACCATTATCAGCAAGTCCCCCAGACAGTGCTGCCAGTCAGTTCTGTATTTGTACAAGTACAGAAATCACTCCGTCGCCTGCCTGCTTAGCCGGCTTCGCTGCGCCTGTGCGGAACTTGAGCGCAATTGCAAAATCGAAAAAGAGTTTACGTAGCTCATCAACAATGACCTACATGGAAGCGTGGATAGAGCAATGTGAGCAATGACCCAGTGTCCTTGTGGCAAAGTGACCACAGGTAGCACGAAAACCATGTAGTGAGTACATGTCACAAATGCTGGACTAACAAACGCAGCCGCCGCCACCGCCGTGTATGTATGTGTGTGTGGGTGTGTGTGTTTGTATGTGTATGTGTGTGTGTGTGTGTGTGTGTATGTGTGTGTGTGTGTATGTATGTGTGTGGTGGATACCAGGCTAAAAATAGTGGCGGTCAATTCATCAGCCTTGCAAGCTGTTGAATGGTGTAATCCCAGCACAAGTTGCTATGTCTAACATAGCTGTTCGCTATCATCGCTTCCGCGATGGGCATGTCTGAGGTCTGAGGTGTATGTGCGTGTGTGTGTGTATGTGTGTATGTATGTATGTGTGTGTATGTGTGTGTATGTGTGTGTGTGTGCGTGGCATGTGTGTGTGTGTGTGCGTGTGTGTGTGTGTGTGTGGTACATGGGGTGTGGTGTGTGTGTGTGTGTGTGTGTGTGTGTGTATGTGGCGTGTGTGTATGTGGCGTGTGTGTGTGGCGTGTGTGTGTGTGTGGCGTGTGTGTGTGTGTGTGTGTGTGTGTGTGTGTGTGTGTGTGTGTGTGTGTGTGTGTGTGTGTGTGTGTGGACCAAAAAGTAGGGATTCACTGGCCAGAAAAAGCCACTTCATAGCTGTGTGGTGTAGACTAGGCTGAATAGTGGCGGCCAATTCTTCAGCCTTGCAAGCTGTTGAATGGTGCAGTCCCAGCACAAGTTGCTATGGCTTCTGCTGTAGCATCGCTATCATAGCCTCCGGCGATGGGCGTCCAATGGTCAAGGGTGTGTGTGTGGTGTGTGTGTGTATGTGTGTGTGTGTGTGTGTGTGTGTGTGTGTGTGTGTGTGTGTGTGTGTGGCGTGTGTTTTGGTGTATGTGTGTGTGTGTGTGTGTGTTTGTTTGTGTGTGTGTGTGTGTGTGTGTGTGTGTTTGTGTGTGTGTGTGTGTGTGTGTGTGTGTGTGTGTGTGTGTGTGTGTGTGTGTGTGTGTGTGTGTGTGTGTGTGTGTGTGTGTGTGTGTGTGTGGACCAAAAAGTAGGGATTCACTGGCCAGAAAAAGCCACTTCATAGCTGTGTGGTGTAGACCAGGCTGAATAGTGGCGGCCAATTCTTCAGCCTTGCAAGCTGTTGAATGGTGCAGTCCCAGCACAAGTTGCTATGGCTTCTGCTGTAGCATCGCTATCATCGCCTCCGGCGATGGGCGTCCAATGGTCAATGGTGTGTGTGTGTGTGGTGTGTCTGTATGTGTGTGTGTGTGTGTGTGTGTGTGTGTGTGTGTGTGTGTGTGTGTGTGTGTGTGTGTGTGTGTGTGTGTGGCGTGTGTTTTGGTGTGTGTGTGTGTGTGTGTATGTGTGTGTGTGTGTGTGTGTGTGTGTGTGTGTGTGTGTGTGTGTGTGTGTGTGTGTGTGTGTGTGTGTGTGTGTGTGTAAAACACACCACACAAGGACTGTACATCATGCAAGGAATTACACTATTAGAATCCAGAACGTTGCACCATCATTCCAATCAGTAGCCTGGGAACGCAAGTCAGAACCAGCTGGTGGCAGTTCTGCCCGGATTCCATCACTTTCTGCTCCAGCGCAAACACACATGCAAATTCGCCGCAATCGGTACCCTTCATTTAGATATGCTGTGACTCCATGTGGTGAAGTGAATGAGGACATGAGTAAGGTTGCTGGGATTCACATCGGCAGTGTATCTTGTGACTATGACCATAATCCAATGCATTTGTTTGTTTTGTATTGATGGATTCTCCACAGGCCTTAGCCTGGGAGTCTCCGTTTGCGCATTTCATCTTGTGGAACGGCTGTTGTATGCAATTACTGTGTTGCCGTCCTTGCGACTCGTGGAGTACTAGTACATCGATCCTCTGGGTGTGTATCGTCTGTGTGTAGGTACTCCGCAATTGCTTCGACCGGATGAGGAAGACTTGCTCTAGAAACCAGCCCTTGCTGTACACTGAGCCTGTGCTCACACCGCTGGCTCAGCGGCAACGAATGTTACAGGTAAAGTGAATGCTGAGCCAGCATTGAGTTGCCCAGCTGCTTAATACTACTTGAGTACATAAGGCCATGGTAAAAAATACCCTTGATTCTCAAGTACGCGCGCATCGATTTTTGGCGGCGCACCGACGATTTTTTTTATTTCTATGCATGCATATGCGTGCATGAAAACGGTCAATGCGAAAGGCATGAATCCGGGAGTAGTAAAATACCGGTATTTTTCTACTCCCTGGCCTGAATAATAAAATAATCATAAATTAATTATGAACCTGTGACGTACACATGTGTGACCCTATCTTTGGAAATAAAAAAATTGTGGGAATTAAAATAAAAAATTGCTCGCTCGCACCAATTTTCACAGGCTCATGACCTGAGAATCAACTTTATTTTTTACCATGGCCTAACCAAGAGTGTGCAACTCGACGATCCCCCAGCCCACGGCGGAATTTTTTTTATGACATCAGTCTTTGGTGGCGGTTTGGCTCGCTGATGCCATCATGCGTAGCCAGAGATCAAAGTACAAAGAATTAGTTCATTACAGCTACGGTAGTCGAAGCAGAACAACGGACGATAGATCGATGTGTATTGAACCTGACGAACTCTCACCGTATCTACAAAACCAGCGCGGGAAAGCATACCCACTTCATCATACTTCTGCCAAAGAATGACGCAATAAAAAAATTCCGCAGTGGGTGAACCCATCGCAGCTCAAGATAGGAGTTGCACACTCTTGGTTATGTACTCTTGATACTAGTAATAGCCAGCTGGAATGGATGGTGATCTAGCTCAGTAGCATGGAGATTTGAGCGACTGCACGAGAGAACCCTGATACTGGCTGCATAGGATACCATTTACTGATACTGCAGCAGTATTCTTTTATTGGGAGGGGGGGGAGGAGAGGCTGCGTTATGCCACAGAACAGTGGGTAGGTGGGTAGGTACATGTATTTACAAGTAGGTAGGTAGGTGTAGCGAGCGGCATATGGAAACTGATAAGGGTACATCAGAACAGTGCACTGCAGAGTTCTACTCATGATGATATGCGTGCAACAGTGTAATTATTATGTGTGAACACAGTCAGAAGGTAGGTAGATAGGTAGGTAGGCAGGCAGGTAGGTAGGTAGGTAGGTAGGTAGGTAGGTAGGTAGGTAGGCAGGCAGGTAGGTAGGTAGGTAGGTAGGTAGGTGTGGTGGTGTGTCAACACTCAGACCGTAGTGGTACAGAACCAGTAGCATACATGAAGAATGGACCGGGGAAACTGTAGCCTCGAATTCTCAGGGTACCTGGGTGGGGAGGGGCTGATGCATTTAATGCTGAGCCAAACCTAGCGGCTGCAGACTACACTGCATAACAGATGGGACAGTACTTATTCTTTCACAATCCCCATGGTATGCACATGTTCCAACTTCACTTTATCATATCCAGTATGCACATGTTCCAACTTCACTTTATCATATCCAGTATGCACGTCACTACCGGGTCACATTTATCTGATATTGTCCGTAGCAAACTTTCACAATAGCCTAAGGAGGTTTGGATTGCACTGAGCATGCAGGGTGTAGCTATTTGTATGTGTATGTGTGAGTGTGTGTATGTGCGCGGGCCTTCGTGCGTGAATGTGTGGTATGTTGGTATGCGAATGGCTGTGCTCGCGGCCAGCTGTTGTTTGAGAATTTTGACGTGCCGGCCACGCAGAGTGAGATTCAAGCCAAGCTGTCTGTGTACACCGGTGGACGGTCGGTGTCCATGGCCGTGGAGTGTGGCGCTGGTGTCACGCAGGTCTATCCGGTCTGGGAGGGCTACACTGAGCCGGCCGCGATCAAGCGCGCCGACTTTGGTGGGCGTGATGTGACTCATTACCTTGGTGAGCTGCTCAGCCAACGTGGTCGCTCATTTCCCAGCACGGCTGATCAGCTAACACTGGACAAACTCAAAATAGACTCTTCGAGCCTGGCAATGGACTATAATGCAGATGTGGCCAGGCTGAAACAGTCAGGTAGCCTGGAAAAGAAGTATCTGCTTCCCAGCGGTGAAGCAGTGACACTGGGCGAGGAACGGCTGCGATGTCCTGAATCACTATTTGATCCATCTCTGATGGGTGTATCCTCACCAGGCGTTCACGTGCTCGCTGCGGACGCGATATCGGCGTGTCCAATCGATATACAGCGCGATCTCCTGCGCAATGTGCTCTTGTGCGGCCAAGCCATGTCGTTTCCCAACTGCAAAGAGAGGCTTCAGCGTGAACTGGAGCAACTGTTTGGTAATGGCGGTCGCACACGCGTACGTGTCGTGCAATCGCCTGATGTAAATGCATGGGTCGGCGGCTCCATTGTAGCTTCTTTGTCCTCGTTTCAGCGCTTGTGGATCACGGCTGACGAGTATAAAGAGTGTGGTCCTCATGCTTTGTATCGCCTTCTGAGACTCTGATAGCCAATGCCGGGCCGGCACAGACACGAGTGTGCATGCGAAGTCGGAATGTGCTGTCCCCACAGGATAACGCGATTCCGCGGACGTGCAACTTTCCCCGCGTTATTGGCTTTCATCCACGTACAGTCAGCAGATAGCCGCATGATTGATCTGACCGCCAGCCAACAGCGACATGTAATTACATTCCAGAGTCCTGTTCTTGAAATCTGAGACTCAGTATATATGCTCACTCTGCATGCACTATGTCCCCAGCATGGCTGTAGTGGTATTGTTCAACAGTTGCGTACGGCAATCTGATTCTGTATTGTACATATCCCTTGTTTTAATTTGCTAGTACAGAAAAAATGAACTTCGAATTACGAGTAGAGTTTGAGCGAGACATCCAAATGTCGGGAAAAACTTTTGACATTCTGCCTGCCGTATCTGCACATATTTCTGCTTTTTTAGACCAAAATTAATTGAATAGCCTGTTGAAGTACGTATCATATTACTAGAGAAGAATAGTTTTTAATTTCTGTCAAATTTCCAAAACTCATACCGGTACTTGAGTACGTGTACTTCAATCTCATAATATCCCAGTTGATCTCAGATAATGCGTTGCAGTTGCCCAGCTACTGATGTGGAATTGCTCACCGCCGCATTAAATGAAGCAGTGCAACACTGTGCTCCCAAGGTATCAGGGAGTCGCAGCATACAGGGAGACGACACGGGATCACACACAACATACTTCGACCCCGCGTTTGGAAGTTCTACAGGATCCGTGGTCTATGGCACTCGTGATTGCAGGCTTGACCTGCTGAGTTCAACTTTATTATTTGTCCAAACGCAACCCACACAAGCGATGCAATAATGCGAGCGTGGGTAATTGGCCCTGCCCCAAGGGCAACTGTAATCGGCAGCCCGGTTCGAGACTCACATGATTTAGTGTTATAGTCAGCCGTATTGTCTCCCGAACAGGCAGACATGACTCACCAGCTACTAGTCAGACCTCGCTTATCCGGTCCTCTTTTATCCGGATCCCTCGCAATCTAGAAGAATATACCTGGTTACAGATTTACAACATACGTGATGTATCCAACATCACCGGTGTTCGGTTATCCGGGTCCCTCGCTTATCCGGATAGTAGCATGGCAAACGGATAGGTCTGACTGTAACGTTAGTAGTAATCACCAGGGAGTCGTAAAATACGGTATTTTACGACTCCCTGGTAATCACAAACGTAGACATATACACGCACACACGGAAATGACCTCACCCGCACATAACACAAGGCACTGCCAGGAACGACGTAGCAAATCCGTTCGAGGACACACTCACTTCCCGCATGTAAAGACATGTTGGCTTCGGAACAGAAAATATCTAGACAGCTGAGATGAGGACGGACTTTACAGAAATAGGCAAGAAAAGAAGCGTTAGGCGGATCCTCAAGAGCACGTTAGTATAAGTATGTTTCGTGTCGGTTAAAGTTAATTAACTTAAAGTATTTACCGTGGCGGCAGGGTAAATATGACGCATGCGGGACTCAGGAGAAAAGCGATGTCCTGAACAATGTGTGTGTGTGTGTGGCGTGGATAGGCAGCAAGCGTACGGGACCGCCACATGCCATGGGCATGCCATCAACCTGAGCGCAGCCTGGCTGGCAACACAAAAAAAGGAAGAAAAAACGTACACGAAAAACAGCAACAGGATGATCAGATGATGGTGGTGGATGTTTGTTAGAATAAAATAGGATTGGCAACGCACAGATCAGCTCCCAGCAATGCACGCCCCTTGGCACAAACAACACAGCAAAAAGGGGGGAATGTACACAGAGAACATGGCTAGGCTGGCGTCGCACAGTCAAGAGTCAGCAGCAGCCTAACACGACACAAAGGTGGCGCTCTGCTGCAAAGAAAGACACACTGCATGGCAGTTAACCTAACCCAATGGACACAGAACAGTTCCCACGGCTACCACTGGGACGATACACGACACTTTGCAGACGCCAGAAACGAGTCAAGCGCAGCTCCTACCCTAACAGTAGCCAATAAATTAGCCGAACGAGAAAAAGCTGGAGAAGTCGTCGCCACCACCAAACTGAGAATGATGGTGACCGCGTCGTCCACCGCCACCTCCACCGCCCATGTGGCTGAAACCACCGCCACCCATACCTCCTCCACCACCAAAGAACGTCTGAAAAATCATGGACGGGTCGATGTCCGACATCCCTCCGCCGCCCATGTCTTCCAAATCCTGGCCGGAGTCATAGCGTGACCGCTTGCGCGAGTCAGAAAGAACGCTGTAGGCTTCACCGATCTCCTTGAACTGACGCTCGGCTTCAGCCTTCTCTTCTGCCGTATCGTTGCTGTGTCGATCGGGGTGGTGCCGCAGAGCAGCCTTTTTGTACGCTTTCTTGATCTCGTCGTCACCAGCCGATCGGGAAACTCCCAGGATCTTGTAGTAGTCTTTGCGCTGGCTCATCTTGAGTTGGCGCTTGGCCTCGCTCAGGTTCTCCTTGTTCTCGCGCGTCTTCTCCAAGTTGAACACCTTCTCATAGTCGCGCACGGCTTCTTCGTGTTGGTTGTTTTCCGTATAGCAACGGGCCCGCCGCTGGTAGGCCTTGATGTAGTTGCTGTCTAGGTCAATGGCGCTGCTGCAGTCGGCAACGGCGCGTTCGTACTCCTTTCTCCGCATGCGCACGGCCGCGCGATTACAGTAGAGCTTGGCGTTCGTCACCACATTGCACGGGTCCACGGCTAGGGCTGCTGTGTACCGCTCCTCGGATTCAGCGTTCCGACCGGCCTTGAAAGCGGCATTACCGTCCTCCTTCTTCTGTGCTAGCTGCCGCGCCAGCCGCAGTACAACTTTCGACTTGGAATGCTCAGGGTCAGAGCGCAAAATCTGAGTGAGCAGTCGTACAGCTTTATCGATGTCATCGCTATAGTATATACACAACGCACGCACGTAATTGGCGTCGGCATTGAGGTTGTCCTTCATAAGGACTTCGGTGGCTATTGTCTGGGCATCACCTAAACGCCCTTGTCGAGCCATTGACTCAGCCTGCAAAAGCTTGAATTTGAGACATGCTGGTGCTTGTTCTAATGCTTTCTTATAGTGGTACTCAGCTGTACGGTAGTCTTGCTTGCCAAAGCACTCCTCAGCTAATCCCTGCAGCCGCGCGATTTCAGTCACTGTTTCATGATCTCCTTTCGCTACTTTGTTCCGCGGCTCCAGACTCAGGACTTGCTCCAGGCTATGATGTGCTGACGGTACATCACCCAGTGCTATGAAGCATTTGGCGGCGCGCATGTGGCATTTGACAAACTTACTATCCAACCTGAGAGCATGTTGCGTATCGTCCAGAGCCTGCTGAAACTTGTCCAGCATCAAATAAGCGGCAGAACGATTTCCGTAGAATGGAGCGTGGTCAGGAGCAAGTTGTATTGCCTGGGTATAAAGCTCTACGGCTGGGCCATAGCGACCAGCTTTATATTCCTCATTTCCTCTCTCTTTGAGAGTAGTTGCGCCCTCCATCCCCTCTACTACATCCATATTCTCCATGAGCTTCTGACGAGGTTAGTTGGGGTTGTGCGAGACAACAGTGGCAGCTTCCAGCACTCAGCACTCAGAGAGATCAGAAAGGAAACGCAACATTATTGAAAAACAAAGCTATGTTCACGAAAATATGTTCCAGTGAAATGTAGGCCAAGTAAAGGAGGACTGCACAGTGAAAGTCCAAAAAGTTCCCGTGTGTTCTTCGCATAGTAGTCATTCTAGATGAGTCTTTGTACTTGTCACATGCACAGCATGCGGCGCCATTTTGGTGACGTCATCCATGGGGAACCCCCTACAGTACAATGAGTATGTAGGCCATGCCGTATCGCGTATGCGCATAATGTGCCCGTGCGCACTACAGTCCATTCAGAAAAAAATGAACTGCTAGCTTTTGGCCATAAATGGGTCAAACGTAACTCGTTGAGTTTTTTTAGAATTTTTTTCTGCAATCCCATATGGAATCCTCTTCCAATTAAATTATTAAGTTTCTGAAGTTTTTTTGTCCAAAAAGCAAGCCAGGTTTTGCCCCAAAAGCACTGAATTGGGGAAAACCATCAAAATCCAGGCCGTTTGACCCCGCCTGCAACAGTGCATTCTGCGGTTCGAACCCCAGTTCAGGCACCTTTTTGGACCCTTTTTCAAACTTCAAAGTTCGCAGCATGCACTGCACTGTGTACGATGAAATCACGAAAAATCGCCAAATACGGGAGCTCGCCAGAGCCAGGACCCATCTTTTTATGAATGGACTGCGCACTGCACATCGCGCACTGCCACTACAAAAAATATGTACAATATCATCAAGAGTACCCCCCCCCTGCCCCTTGGGGGTTATGTACTCTTGATATCATGTAGATCTACATGACATGTAGACCTACCGTAAAAGCAGAAATTTTCGGTGGGGTTTTATTTTCGGTAACTTCGGTGCCAAAATTTTTACCGAAAATAAAACGCACCGAAATTGTCCGTATTAGTCCATCAGCCAGTGGTGCCAAAGTGAGTCCCCTGTTGCACTTACAAATCGAACACCTGGAACTGACATCAATCGACAGCAAAAGCATCACTGAATCCGACCTGCCTACTTTCCCTGGCGAAACTCTTGCACTCCTTTTGCAGTGCGCCTTGGAAGTTCGACAAATTTCTTCTTCTTCATCAGCCATTACGAGGTTTTCCATCCGTTTCATCAGGACATCCAATGCGTCAGTTTTGTCAACGTTTGGTGTGGTTTTCCGTGGTGATCGACCTAAAATCGCGAAATAAATCGCCGTCGATTTGAGCAGAGGTGAGTTGGCTTGGAGCACGTACAGATTCAAAAAATATGTGTACATGCGCACCGGGAAGAAGATGAAGATGCTCACCATTTTCAAATAACTAATTCAAAAAACTACATGACTATTGTACTGCAATTGTTGTAGTTACTTGTTTGCAACTACAATGGTATCAAGTAGATAATCAAGCGAGGTACAGAGGGATTGATGGCTGATCAAAGCCCAAGGGACCAGCCCGAGGGCTTTGATCAGTCATCAAGCCCGACTGTACCTCGCTTGAATATGCTTCAGACGATCCCCAACAATTTTTTTGATTTTGAATTCAATCGCTTTATCTTTGGGTGATCTCGAGTGTGGTAGATAGTACTTCGAAGTAGTACAACTGTAACTGTACTACTACCTGGTTGCAACAAGCTCAAAGCAGCCTTGCCTTTATTTCAACTGTTTGCTGTCAGCATCCAGAGTCATGGCGTTTGCTAGTTGGTCGTAATGGAGAAAAGAACTGCATGGCATTCACTCGATGTAGAACATCCATCGCCGCAGATTCCTTACTTTTAGCTCTCCACGTAAGTCGTTCCTTATTTTTCCAGGGATCAGGACCTTCCCGGGGTGATTCCATTCAGGGTGGAAGCGTAGATCGCTTTTGCCAAACAGTAAAAACTACGCTTCAAACCTGCTTGACATGACTCGGGGTGCATACTTCGGAAACCCGAAGGTGGATGATGTTCAATACTAGCTCATTGTAATCTTCCTGAAGGTATGTATTCGGATGCTCAATTAAATAGAACAGTGAAAGAGATGTGTAATGGAACAACACTCTACAAGTAGGCGAACAACAATTTTATTATAATTTGAATCCAGGCACACGTGTAATACGGAAACTGCAATGGTTTACACTGCAAATCTTCTCGATTTGCAAGATTTTTCCCGTAATTCACAAAAATCTGAAAGTTCATTCCTGAACGCGCATGGCACTGATTGGAGATTGGGTTTAGGTCACAACAATGGCTGTCGATGAAATGCCAAAAATGGTCACTTTGTCGGCTTCCCCCTGCAGAGCGTGCAAGTCGTTTACTCTTTTTATTTGCGGATTCGGTGTACAGGGTACCTAAACTCCCCATTGAGGCCAAAATCAAGTATTCGATTTCTAAGTGCAACAGGGTGCTTGAATTTGACGACTTCTGAGTTCTTGGGCTGATGGACTATATAGTACTAGTACACTTACCTGGAACGCGGGTTTACCGAAAATTTCCCTCCGCCGAACCACCGATTTTGGAGAATACCAAAAATATTACACCACCGAAAATTTCTGCTTTTACAGTAGTACCTACACAGCTACAGCTCAGGACAGGAGAAGCACCAATCCGGCATTTTTTGGGGGTTATGTACCTAATTATATCATGTACATGTAGATCTACATGACATGTAGACCTAGTACCTACACAGCTCAGGACAGGAGAAGCACCAATCCGCCATTAGTATTACCAGGCCTACTCGCAAAATGTTGTAGTACTAGTAGTAGGCCTGGGGATTGGTGCTTCTCCTAGATCCTGATCTCCTGCCCCATGACTGCGTGCGTGTAATTGTAATGTACACAATGCACAAGGACTCCAACAGGTTTTATTTTATTTCATTTTTTACAAAATACAACATTAATTATTATTGTGGAACTTGAGTACACAACAATAAAGGCCGATTCACAATACAACTTCTTGCGCGGCGACATGCGACTTGCGACACCTGCGACGAGCTGCGACAGCGACGCACAATTCACAATCTTTTTCATGTTTGCGACATCCTTATACGGTAATTATCATAATTCTGCACTATATATGTAGTACTACTATGCGCACGTGCACCCAGGGTAGAAACTATACTCCATCATTTGTGTATGTCGCATGTTGCAAAAGTTGGACTTTCTTCTGCGACATGTCGACAGGTGCCTTGCGACTGTACGCGACAGGCAGTTTCAAAGTTCTTGTAACTGTCGCAAATCGCGTGTCGCGTCGCAGAAAGTTGTATTGTGAAATAGGGGCTCAGAAGACCATAGGTCTGTGGGAAACGCCCTAGTAAAATGAATAAAATAATAATAATAATGATAATAAAAGTGAACCGGCCTTAAGAGACAAAAGGAAAGGCTTTTAATAAACTGGAGGATGTACCCAGTGTGCTGACAGCGGGGTGCTCAACACCGCGGAGGCACTCTGTTCTGTAATAATAATAAAAACAACGTAGCCTGTAAAATGTAAAGCTGAGTTACTGAGTACAGTTATCCGGTATCCACGTCCGGTATTCTCACATGCGAGCCGCGTGACCTGGGCCTCGGCAACAACCAGCTCAGCAGACTCTGGATGCCAAACTGATCGCTCACGGAAAAGACCTGGTGAACCTCGCAAACATGTGATGCATGATAGCAATAGGGCAAATGACAGACGGCACCAGATGTAACTTACATGTATATTACATGGGAGTACTGCTCCTTCCTCCTGTCCGCTCTCAATAACGCGATTCGGCAATTCGGACTACCAGCACACCAACACAGAGAGTATTTTAGTGCAAGATCATGTGAGACTGATTAGCTCCTACTCCCTGCCATATTTAGCTATGGATCACTTTCACGCTGTGACCTCAGCTCTCTGATATCCGAATCGCACACTCTGTTGATACTTCAAAGTACATTCAAAGCACATTGCTATACCCGTGCGCCCAGGGGACTCTGTGATCGGAACATACACTGTAGAGTACTGTAAACTGCCGAATATTCGCGACGGATTAATGTTCGCTACTTTCGCGAGAAGAGCGTAACGCGAATATTAACCAGCGTGAAATCAAGCTTCAACAGTGCGTGTATATAGGTGGCTTCGGTGCTTCGCGAACTTTTGCCATCACAAACTTGCTGGTTCTAAGAAATCGCGCAAATTTAGTGACGCGAATATTGGGTGGTTTACAGTATCCCTATAAGTCCATTTCAAAAAGATTAGCAATCAGGTTTTGGTCTTAAAAAGTATGAAGATAAGGGAAATTTGAACAACAAAGTACATAGAATGGCTTGTTAGGACGCGGCAAATTGTTCTGTGAAGGTTTCGGAACAATTGGACCAGCCGTTAAGGAGTTAGAATTTCGGCCAGGTTTCCGGCCTTTTCCCATGGTTCACAATTTGCCCTGGATGTCAGTATCGATTTTTTTATCAAAACCCACGATTTATCCTTTCCTTTTTGGCCTCGTGGTTATGAATGCTGTCTGCTGACCATGAAGTTGTAAGTTCAAATCCCAAACTTTTTTTCATTGTTTTGGTGATCACGCTGCACAAAAAGTACAAGCCAAAGGTGGCTGCGCCAAACGACTTGTTGTTGTTGGAGCTCGCGTTTCCTGCCGAACTAACTTACTGACACTTGACTGGTTCATGCCATGTGAACACACCCACAACACTGAAACGGTAGCTGTAGCTACGTGTTGTTGAATACTGTACAACGTTAACTGTACAACGGCACATCGATCGATCGATTTCTCTTTGAGAATTATTTTAGATATTTTCAAGATCGCCAATTTATTTGAATTTAGAAGTCAACGCCGTCTTCTATCAGCTTTCACAGGCGTCTGCTTTTCTCAAAATGTCGTCGAAGTCACACGGATAGCTTTGCCAAGTCATGGCCTTGGGAATGAGTCTGTGTCGATGTCGTTTTCGTCACATCGCGATATCGTTAGAGTAAATTGCATCGCAGCTCAAAGAAATTGGGCACGAAACGAATTGGGACCCATCCCGCTCGTCAACATTTACCACACTTTCGACATGTCCTCTCTGACTCCATGTCGATACGAGGAAGAACTCGTCTGTTGTAAACCAGACGTACATGTACCGACGTGAGTGAGTTGTCATTTTCATGCTTTCGCGCGGATTATTTCTTCGAGTTCACAGTGAGTTTTTCCAGCCAGCTCTCGAGCGCGCATACGGTAAGACGGCAAACTCCCCGGGCGATCGCCAGGATTGCTAATCTTTTTGAAACTGACTGTAGTAATAACTTTTAAAAACTTAAAAACCCGAACCAAAGTTGCCACACGTAAGGTATTGCAGACATGCATGCACATGCACAACTTGATGTACGTGTAGTATCTATAATAATTACTGTAGGTGTAAAAGTTAAATAGACGATACTGAAAGAACACACTTGAATACTGTGGTGACAGTTCAGACGTCAACCAGTTCAGATCCCACTTACTTGCAGTGCTGTGCTGGATCCCAACGTCTGAATGGCCACCCCGATATTCCGTGACACCGATCCTAGATCAGTGAGTACTGATCTGCATGCCTGCAGTATTACACATAATATTATTATCTACATAACTGTACACATACATGAATATCTGAAGTACCTTGTGCGTATCCGAGCGTCATCTTGCACTTATTCTTCACTGATGGAACACTAAATCATAGGGATAGGACCAACATCAGGCTCTTGAACAGCAACATTTCTTAAAGTACCCCGCGCTAGTACTTTACAGTACTAGTGTACGTTCATGCGCATGTTTCTGGTCAAGAGCCTGATGTTTGCCCCCTTCCCAAGCGTTATAGCATGTTTGTCTCAAAGGAAACTATTCTCCATGTGCTAACACTAAGACTACCTCAAAGGGCACGACTGTACTTGAAGTAATACTTTATAAGAGAGTGCTATTCACAAGTTCTAGCCGGCATTCGGTACTCTCACAGCCTTCAGTTCAGTAATGAGATCTGCATGATCGAAACAGCTGTGTGGAGAACTTTATGCCAGTACCTACAACACAGTCAACAGATCGGGCCTGTGTTGCCAGTGTGATGAATGTGATTGACTGAATAGCATGTGTGGTGGTGGTGGTGGTGGTGGGTTGGAGTACTAGTAACTACTAAATGGGGCATTTTTGGTGGTGGTGGTGGTGGTGATATTTCGCGAAATTGTGTGGAGAGAAAAAGAGTCCGTGAAGATTTATAACAGTGCGAGCACGGAAAAGTGCATGCGTGCTTGAAGAACTCGCCGAGGAAAGAGAAAGTAATCGCTGCGAAGCTCTACAAGTTCGCGTTGATGTTTTCGAACTTTCGTGCTCTGTTTCTGTGCTCGTTCCCAGTACACTTGGGCCAATGTTTCTCGTCATGAATAGGCCGAAAGCTTTTCTTTACCCTCCTGACCGTTGGATACCCTGCAGCTTCCACAGCATTACACTGTTACTGATGATGGTGGAATGAAACGGAAACGCTGAAGAATAGTTTTTGACAAAGAAGAGGACCAAGGAACTACAAGTTGCGCTATAATGCCCACTAACACCACGGGTTACTTGACAATCAGCTCATATCATTGCACAACACTAACCGACGGTACCGACGTTCTACAACTAACTGCCAGTCAGCTCTAGCACGTCTTGGATGCCCACTCCAACAGCCTTCCAACTTGGAAGGTTCTAAGTTATAGTCATAACATAGGGGGGAGGTGCGCGCAGCCAGGACAATCACACGCTGAAAGTCTCAGCTGTGAAGGACGTTGGCGGCTGTACATGCATGTCGATTACGATACTGGCAAGACCATTGGATGGTCAAACCACGATTCATGATTCCCCTCCTATGCAATACTACAACTTATCAGGACCTTCCAAGTTGGAAGACTGTTTGAGGGCGCATCCAAGACGTGCATGAGCTGATTGTCAAGTAGCTCGTGGTGTTAGTGGACATTATAGCGTAACTTGTAGTTCCTTGGTCCTTTTCTTTGTTATAAATGAATTCTCGGCTCTCCATCCAAGTCAATAATTTTTGAAGTTGATAGTACAGTCAAGTTCGCTAATAACGACTGCGGATATAACGACAATTAATTTGCGAACAACGACAGAATGTCCATGCCCAGAGCAATGTTCCATCTAACTGTAATACATACAAAGAGACTTCGGCATAAGGACACTTCACGAACTGTTGGCCAAAAAATCCGATTTTTCCACAGTAGACCCCGGACCCTGTCGTACCACTCCCTCCCCCCCCCCCCCCCCCCCCCCCCCCGCTGCCCTGTGACCGCCCTCCCTGGTTTACCCTAATTGCAATTTTGCGGGTTCTGGAATGAAACTGCAGGAAGCGTCCAAACGGATCTTGAATCTGAAAAAATGATCCCAAAAAACTTCACATCACTGTCATCAGGTGATTGGGACACCAGGCCAGGTGCCTTACTGAATCCCATGGAAAACATGCTGCCACTTTGGCACTTGTCAAATCTCTTGACACTGACAGTCGAGTCGTGTGCGTACATGCGTGTGGACGTACACCGACGTCACGTACAGCTGTAGTGTCGCACTCACAGTCACACAGCCACAGCCACTGCCGCTGGGTTCATGCTGATAATAATGACATTATGAATATGAGGCTCTGCATGCACGTGCTTGTTATGTGAACGGAGTAAGCTGAGATGCACAAACTCGGTGTTGAGACCGTCAGTGCTAGTGCTACATCATACATAAACATGTAGATCTCCCTGGTCCAGAACTCGGGAACACACAAACACGGGCGATTTGATCGGCAGCTAGTGAGTACATATCTACGATGCGGTCATACCTGCGATCAAGATCCTGACAGTCAATACGACGTTGATTCTATCGAATTGTTGAGATCTCTTCCGGTGTCGTGTTTGGAGCAGCGCCCTTTTCCTTGCTGGCTGGCAGAGTTTTTGCGCTGGTTCTTCAGTGGAGACCTGGTCAGTGGGTGTTGTTCTGGAAAACTGTTACGGTTCTTGTTCGGCTGGTCGCCAGGGCAGGAATGTCTTGAAGAATGGTGAGCTGGCAAGTGCTGATGCTGTGCGGCGTTGTGGCGCTTGTAGCGACGCTGGACACAAGCGCACCACTCATTCGAGGTGAGTCTGAATGAAGTCAAAAGTACGCTCAGGCTGGCCAATGTATTTCTTCCGCTGTGAAAGCGCAACCTTTCCAGGAGCCTGCATGCTGCAAGGTCTCTCCATTAGGAGCCGTTGCGCTATTCCGCCATGTGTGTCCGGTAGTACAAAACTAGTCACACCACCTGCAGTGGAGTGCTGCTGGCTGTTCTGCTGGCACAGAGTCAGTGTCGGACCTACCAGTACCAGAAACAGAAAATTTTAATAATTCAGAATGCACTCCTACTGGCCTTACCGCCTACCGGTGACGAACAAAACAATTATCTGCGACGGTCTAGCCGGGTGCCTCGACTGTACTATCGGCGTTTGCGAGTTGTGCGTGCGTCCGGTCCAGTTAGCGTTGCGGTGTGATGTTTGTTTTCATGCTGAGCGAAATACCGTGATCACTGGCGAGTGCAGTGATGCGTGGTGCAGTATCATGAACTGTCAGTCCCGTGTCGGTGTGTGGCTAGCTGGAAAGAAAGAGGAAAATGTTGCTTTCACCAGCTGGCCAATCCGCTCCGAAAATCATATTTTTCTGCATTGGTATCTTCTTTAATTAATACATCGGTATCTTCTGTACCTGATGTGCATCGTGGGTAGTACATGTACACGCTGTACCAGCTCTTGTGATTCACGCGCAAAAGGCGCAGTGTGTGCTTTGGATCCAGTTCTTGTGCCCATGGCATGCATGGCAAGTGCATGGGGTCATCCTTGGGCTGATGCCTGATGGTCCACTTACCTGCTCATTCAGTTGCCTAGCAAGACTGATCACAGGCTAAGCATACTGCATAGCATAGCTAAGATTCATCAGGTACTGCTAGTACAATCATGTACAGTTGTGGCATAGTACATAATTATTATCATACCAGCATACGTGTAGAACACCCAACACAAGTATCGGTACATGGACGTCATGTGATACCAATCCAGTAGAATAAGCACCACTATAGCGAACTACCACTATAGCAAACCCCACTATTTATTTATTTTATTTATTTATTTCTGCACCTCGTGGCATGTCAAGACAGCCAATTAAATTGAGGAGAGGGTGAGACCAACCACGGAAGAAGAGAAGAAAAGAAAATGAAGAGCATGTACACAAAGTGGGAAGGGATTAGCAACTTACAAAGCAATGGGATGCTCAGCGAGCTATTGAACCTCACTTCAGCGAACCCCGAATAGCAAATCCCCACTATATCAAACTCTCGCTATAGCGAACTCCTACTATTGAACCTCACTTTAGTAAACCCCGAGTAGCGAATCCCCACTATATCAAACTCTCGCTATAGCGAACTCCTAGTATGGCGAATCCCCACTACTGTATAGCGGAACCAACAGTTCAAGCAGAACACCAGCCAGTAAAGGAATAGGAATACTAATGTTCAGATCTTAAGACAAGGCTCATATGTAGACTCCTCGCACATAGACAGAACTAAACTGCTACGTAGATAAGGGGCAGCTAAGTTAGTTACGTGCCAAAGCCGAATAGATAGTGTGTGCGTAAGCGGGAGCCGGCTGCCAACAGCCTCACCCAGAAGGATTGCAAGACTGACTGAAAGACCAGGCTGTGCCTGCCTGTAGGCAGTACAGCAGAGAAAGGTGACACTATTTACAAAAACGATGTGCCCACTGTACATAGTCGCCGCTTTCACCTGGCCTGCATGTGGTGTTGAAAAACTGAGTGTGCATCTAAGCGCCCTCCCGGGGGGGGGGGGGGGGGGACACTAAGATATTATGTGTGGAGGCTCAGCATAGGTGTGAGTTGCAGCTTAGTGTCTTGAGACACTGGCAGTTGTGGGATAGTTTAAGTTGTAGGTGCCCCGTCAGGCGAAATAGCACGTCATAGTACATTCGAGATCAGCGGGAAGAAGATGACGACGTCCACTAATTTAGTATCTGTGCACACAAATCTGCTGTGTGTGTTACTCTGTGTGTCAGCTATGGCATCATCGCCTGTGGTTCCATGCCTAGCATGTACGTCTGAACCATCCTGCAAAGTTTGAATGACGTAGGTTGAGCGATCGCTCCGCGAAACATACTTTTTGAAATTCTCTTCATAGTATATCTTCCACCATTGAAATTTCGAATTTCTTCGAATTTTGTGCTGAGAGGGGTGGCTTGCAACATGGATATGGCTTGTTCCAGACATGCTTTGGAGCCATCGCCTGTTGAAACAGTGGCTGGAAGCTGCCCTGCAACTGTTCCAACAGGAAATTAATCGATCCGAGAAAGCGCGAGTCCGCGAATCTCGGTTGAATATTGAGTATTTCAAGCCTTTTCTCGACGATAATGGAGTTCTTTTTGGAGATGGACGTCGCGGCAAAGGACATGGTGTCCGACTTCTGGCGTCTGGTGAAGCCAGGGATCATTTGTCCAGTCAGGTCGGCAGCCTAACCGTCGGTAAGCTTGTGTTTGGATCCCGTTCTGCTCGATGTGGTAGATCACAAACAATTTGATATCGCACAAATTGATCTCAGCATCGTGCGTACGGTATTTTATATTCAGAAAATCCCAAAGTGTCTCTGTGTGGCCGTCCTATGCCACGAGAAACTCCAATCAGGTTCCTATGTCCTCTGCCTTCATGATTGAATGTCCACTTCGTTTGAACAACGAACACAACAATCGAGGACGGCTTTGCAATGAAAAATACAGCTATACTGGAGCTGAAAAAAAGAAGAAAAAAACGTGCTCAGGATGAGACTCGAGTACACGCATACTCTCCCAGCAGGTGAAACGCAAAATTTTGTGAAAAATGCGTGTCGCCGACTGACCAGTAATTTCGCCTGACGATGCCCATTCAGTAAAGTGTTGAGTTACTGCTGCTGTATAGTAGCAGCTTGGGTGTTGAAAACTGTTCATATGAGTTCACTCTGACACTGCTGATGAGCAATTATGTGTTTAATAATACTTGACACGCTTTTAACACCTCCAAGTCATTACCAAGTGATGATACACATCGGTGCCTTACTTGCATACACATGCAGTGTTGGACGGCCCAAGTATATGTGTGTGTGTGTGTGTGTGTGTGTGTGTCACAGTGTGTGTGTGTGTGTGTGTGTGTGTGTGTATGTGTGTATGCGTATATCCAGGGCCGGCGCCACTGGTACGGCCGGTATGGCCAGCGGGCCGTACCAACTTCCCAAAAAGTCGGTCCACGTGGAACGTCCAAAACCTGGGAGAAAAAGTTTCAATGTATGATTTTGTACGGGGAATCGCCCAGAGTACAGGATTTGCCGGCTAAATTCCAAAACATTTCGGGGGACGACCCCCAGACCCCCCTTAAAGATGGCCCTTCGGCCACACCGCTCCGCAGAAGCTGCCTCCGGCCCTGATATCTGGTATACTCCGAGTCACTGAGGTGTGCAAAGTGGGTGTGGACTGTGGAGTGTCTTGTCTGTGATGCCTTCGGGGTTGGGCAGGCCAGATAGTCTGCATTGATAATAATAGCCGGATGCGGGGTGCTGCTGCCCGATGAGCAGTGGCTAGTTAGCCGGGTGCTGTGTGGGCATAAAGGTAGTGCCCAATATGCACCAAGTGAGGGTTGGCGCTTGACATTGTTACCGAGCTACGTAACCGTCGTTAGATAGTTTACATCTTTGTACAACTGCAGTAGTGCCTTTTCGGAAACGAGCTTTTTACCTCGCTACCTCTCATATCAGGCTAGCTGCATCTCTAGCTTAGACCATGGTTAGGCAGTCACTGCAGAAGGTCACATGATACAGGGTGGTGTATCTTACACACTTTGCAGCCTTGGTCAAACCGCGTCTTTGAGACGAACTGGCCCAACCGTGATGCAAGCCGCGGCAATTGGTCAAGTTCAGTCACACTAACATCGAAGTGTGATGAGCCACCGTGCCATGTAGGATTTGTGTCATGTATGGCACGGCTACATCTGCATTGAAGATGCAAACACAAATGCGTGGAGACATGGCACAAAAGTCCGCTGTCGCGTTTCAAGAGATTTCGAGCTGCGTTACCATGAGCACTGTAGAAATATGACATCAAAGTGGCATTGTGTCCCACCGAAGACCGAGTCTGATCTGAGCCTTGCATTTTGAACTGAAGTTTCAGTCATGCGGTCATGCAGTATCCACCCAATCACATGCAGGAGCCCAGACCCTGACTACGCGAGCTCTTGACCCACAACCATGCAGTGGTGTGAGTTGCTGTAGTGAATCTGTTCTGCTATGATACTTTGAATCTGAACCAAACACAGCTGCATGCCGCAAACAGCACGGTCTTTTTTTTATACCATCTCGGTGAACAGGTGTTTTAAAAATCATCCTGCTGTCGATATTTATTTTATGTTCCGCAGATGGATCGGCCTCACACAACGTTTTGAGCCAGGAAGAGCAGCGGCCTGCTAGGAAGGCACCCAACCAAGAGAGAGCATTCACCCAGGTCGATGATGCTGTGCGTGTTGAAGAGGCACCGATTGCTGGTGCCGCTCAAGGTGAGCATGTACATCGGCGAGCAGCGCCAACCCAGAACCAAGACACTGCATCAACCGTCCCGCCTAACACTGCTAGAATGCCTGATGTGCGGTCGTCCTCACTAAACACCGTTCTGCTGATTAGTAAGTACAAGCAGGCAGGAAAGAACTTGCTGAAACATTCCTTCAAGGGCTGGAAAGTACGCTTTGTAGTACTGATGTCAGGCAGTCTTAACCCTTTATGGACCAATTAAATTAGTGTGGAAAATGCGGCATTCGATTGACTGCTGTAACTCAAGAACGGTTGTGATTTGTTACAAGTTGTGTGAAGATTGGTTAAAGGGGAAGTATACCCTAAAATCAAATTTTCACCAGTTGTAGTCTTCGGGGTGCTGAGTCGAATGGTCTTGGTCCGAGGAAGCTGCGACGCTCCCTTCCTACTTGAATCCCAATCGAACTCGCGCACTTCCACCGAAACTGGGTGACTGTGCCCTACTAGATGGGGATTTGTATGCAAAATCTCACTAAAAGCGCCATTTCGTTCTTATAAAAGCACGGATGACCGCGATTGGCCCATATGTTGTAGTCTTTTGGACGCTGAGTCGACTGGTTTTGGTCCGAAAAGGCTGCGATGCAGCGTTCCTCCTTTATTCCCAATCGAACATGGTTGAAGAAGCGGTCACGTGGTCCTGGTTGCCCAAATCACCTGGTCACCACGCCAGCAGGCGACAACTTTCACACCAAGGTTCAACTCGAGTGACAGGACTGCACCCAAAAAAGGTCAAACAGGCTAGTAAGTTGTACCCTGCAGGCACGGTGACCAGGTGACTGGTGTACGCAGGAGCACGTGACCGCTTGTTCAACCATGTTCGATTGGGAATAAAGGAGGAACGCTGCATCGCAGCCTTTTCAGACCAAAACCAGTCGACTCAGCGTCCAAAAGACTACAACATATGGGCCAATCGCGGTCATCCGTGCTTTTATAAGAACGAAATGGCGCTTTTAGTGACATTTTGCATACAAATCCCCATCTAGTAGGGCGCAGTCACCCAGTTTCGGTGGAAGTGCGCGAGTTCGATTGGGATTCAAGTAGGAAGGGAGCGTCTCAGCTTCCTCGGACCAAGACCATTCGACTCAGCACCCCGAAGACTACAACTGGTGAACATTTGATTTTAGGGTATACTTCCCCTTTAACCCTTTAACCGTCAGACCATACATTTGTGGGTCGAATTCGACCCATCATTTGAAATACTCGCACTGGAATGATTTTTTACCCACGATAGAAAATTTACTATCGATTCGGTCGCGAATTTTCCAGGCTTTCTGTTGCAGAAATCCGCGTTGAGCTACGATGTAGTGGAGCAGAGTTATCAAGCGCTGAGTACTGCACGCTTGTCACTTCCGCTGCGCTGGGCGCGCGGCTGACGTCGTCACGGGATTTCCCCGTTTCTTCACGCGCTCTGTGACTGTTGCTCGCGACCAACGTATTCCTCACGAAATGCTCGATCTCTCAAAAAAAATTTGAACACTCTACGATGAAGGAGACGGCCATGGCGGAGTTTTGAACTTGTCATTTGCATGCCTGGCGTTGAGACGACGTCGCTGCGTTCCAGCGCTGGTTGTGTGACTGT